GCCACTGCACTCCACCCAGGGTGACAGACGAAGACCCTGTCTCAATTTTAAAAAATTAAAAGAAAAGAAAAAATAGTTGAAAAATAATAATAACAAACTAACATTTATGTTGAGCTCTTACTGTGGTCCATGTGCTGTTGGCCGAGTACAGAATGTCCGACCCTAATTCTAAATACAGCCCCTTTGGAGTATCCTCCCAGTTGAGGAAATCTGGTGTGGGGAGCCACAGTCATTTATCTACGAAGGTTTAATTGGTAAGTGGCAGAATGAGGGCCAAACACAAGCCCTCTGGCTACACAACTCACACACCCAACTACTGTGCCACCTCAGCCATGCTGTGCCACCTCAGCCATGCTGTGCCACCTCAGCCATGCTGACATTAGGTATATGACAGCTATCATCAAAACACTCCCAGCAGATCTGGAATTCCAGGCCACTGGCTGGGGGGTGGAGCGGGAGGACATTCTAGAGCAGAGGTTTGCTCAGTCCCTGGCAGAGCATTCTCAGACCAGGGTCTCTGGCAAACCCCACCAGGCCTCCTTCCATGCCCAGGCCCTACCTCTCTTTACCCTAGGTAAGCCCAGAATTTCTCACCACCCTTGTCTGTCCAGGGTCTGTGTTCCTCCCAGCCCTGGCCTCCATCCTGGTCCTCCTGGATGGCTTTGAAGAGCTGATGCCTGGCTGAGGGCTCCACTTCCCCAAGCTTTGACGAGAAAGACACACAGGGCTCTTCCCTGTGGATCCAACCCTGGGCTGTCATCTTCAGCTTGTGTCCTGGAAGGCTCCACCAACTCTGGATAGGGTGCCTCCTATGAGGTGGGAAAGTGTCACAGAAGGGAGCCCCAGAGTAAAATCATCCTGGGCACTGACCAGTTAGAAATGTTGCTGATAACACAGCCAGTGAGGCCGTACTGGTGCAAACTTGTGAAAGGCTGGCCCATCAGTCAGTCTTCCCCCTAGATGCCATGTCTTCAATAGCAGTCACTGCTCATGTCAGGGCATCACATGAGACTCTCATGGCCTTCCCACCCCAACCCTCCCAGCTTCTACTCTGGGGTTCTCTCTGGCGACTGGGCTCAAAAAATAGGAATCGAGCCATGCCCCTAAGACAATGGACACCCGCTGGTTCACCTGTATTTACGCACCCAGTTACACATCCCGTTACACACTCTCTATCTTTATTTTCTAATCCCAGGCATACACCGTGTTCCTAGACCCATTGGTCTTTTCTTGCCCTCCCACAAAGGCAAAATGAACTTAGGGTCTCAGGGATCCCTGGGGAGAAATGCAGCAGAGGTGACCTAAACCCAAAGCAATCGCCGGCGTCCCTCTCTCTCTCCTATGCATTCCAACTAAAGGTTCTGCTCTTCCACGGGTCAGGGCAGGCCCGAGGCCGGTGCGCTAGACCGGATAGGGGGCTTCGGGACAGGAGGCTTCGGAGGAGGCAGGCTGGAGGCAGCGGGGCAGCCCCAGGGCAGTAGCTCATGTCCCGCGTCCTCGGGCCCTCCTCCAACTTCCCTTCCCCCCAAGAATGGACGCTGCAGCCAGCTCTGGCGCAGTTCTGCCCACCACAGCGCAGGACCCTAGGGGAGCTCCTCCCCGCTGCCAAGCTGCTTGCCCTCCCCCGTTCTGCCGCCTGGAGGTCCAGGAAGAAGTCACACCCAGGCCAGGAGCAATGGCTCACGCCTATAATCCCAGCAGTTTGCGAGGCCAAGGCGGGCGAATCACCTGAGGTCAGGAGTTCGAGACCAACCTGGCCAAACATGGCGAAACCCCGTCTCCACTAAAAATACAAAAATTAGCTGGGCAGTGCCGCGTGCCTGTAGTCCCAGCTACTCCGGAGGCTGAGGCAGGAGAATCGCTTGAACCCGGGAGGCAGAAGTTGCAGTGAGCCGAGATCGCGCCATTGCACTGCAGCGTGGGCAACAAGAGCATCTCAAAAAAGAAAAAGAAAAAAACGAAAAAGAAGTCACCGCCGACCAAACCTGGCTGAACTCTTGCCCCAGGACCCATCCCTCCTAGGAGACCTCCAGCTTCAGAGATCCCAGCTACCCGCGCACTCCCCCAGCCCACTTCCACGGAAGCCTGCGAGCAGTTGGGACGCATTCGTGCTTAAAGGACACAGAGGAAATGCCTGCAGCGTTGGGTTTCCCCAGCGGAGCAGCGCGGCAGGGGTGGGCAGGGGACTGTGGGTGGCGGGCGCTGCAGGGGACTCCCCACCCCCCGCACACTCGCTCTGAGCCCTGACACCGGTGCCGGCCTAGGCTGCAGGTGGGGAGGACTCCAGGTGGCTTGGTGGAAAAACCTGGTCTCTCGCCCATGCCCGCCATGGACGCAGGCACCGCAACAGCTCTCTTGGGAAAAAAATGTCTTTGCCAGCACTCTCTCAAAATCTCCTCTCTGAATCGCTCATCTGAGGAGTCCAGAGGATCTGGCCCATTCTTTTCCAATTTGCACAAGGGCTGAGAGGTCAGCTGCATCCTCCCTGTGAAAGACACCGCCCGTTTTCCTTCCCGCAGCCCTGGCCAGAGCCCTCTCTCCGGCTTCCTGGCCATGGCCTGGCGAAGGCCAAAGCTGGACCGTAAACCTCGAGTGACCTTCAGAGGCCAGGTGCCCACAGCGTCCTACTGGACACACTGCTGACCAATGAACTTGGTTCTGCTCCAGCAATAGCACCAGAGTTCAATGTTTTATTGACACAGCCACCGGAAGCTCCCTTTTCCCAGCCTTTACAAGGCTCAAAGCTCCGCGTCTCAGCACACCTCTCAATGAACTGCTGACTGTGCCCTGGACTGGCAGCTCGATGGCCTTGACTTTGTCCTTTCTGTTATGATGCCACATCCCTTGTGTGGGTGTTTGGGGCAAAACCAAGACAGAGAAACTCTCACTCTAACGACCCGTTTCGAGGATTTCAGGATCATGGCAAACGGGAAGCAGAACTAGATTGACTGCAGCTCTGTACAAAGCAGCACGTGGAGGCTTGCATTGTCAATTTTAGCTCCACATCCACTGTAAGAACAAACAAGCAATGCTGAGAGGACCCACAGACCCTCTGCAGGAAGCAGACTGTTCCTGCAGGACCCAGGAGACACCCTAAAATTCTGTGAGTGCCCTAAGTTTTTTTTTTTTTTTTTTTTCAATATTGCAAGTACATTTATTTAAAAAGTGTAAAATGGGAAGACTGTGCACTGGTCTGAATAAAGTGGCGAAGTTGAGCCTCCTGACCCGGCCAGCTAAGCCGCACCCCTGCACCCCCCACACACCTGCACCCACCACCACCTCCACCTGCGCGTTCCCCACCGGAGCCAGCGTCCAAGTCTGGGGGCGGGGTGGTTCCAGGACCTGCCTCTGTGGGGCTCCCATCCAAACAGCACATGGTGGAATAAAATAAGTGGGAAAGGGAGACACTCCTCTCCTGAACGCATACCCCCACGGGAGAAGCTGAAGGTCTGTTTGCAGATGTTTCTGACTTTACCTGGAGCAGAGTGAAGTTAGACAGCCGAGCGCAACACAGAGGTAGAGGAAGCAGCAGAAAGGCCCTGGGAGCCCACTGGGTCCCCAAGCAGCCATTCCTGCCTGGCACCACAGGGATCCATTGGGAGGGTGGCCAGAGGAGCAGGGGGTAAAACTCCACAGGAAGAAGGAAATCTCTAGCCGAACTTTGTAACAATTTGAACCCCATTAAAAGCCTCCTGGCCAGAACTTGGGAAAAGGGCTCAATCTGGCTTGCAGACTTCACAGACAGAGCTAAAGCCCTTTACTTTCCCAGCGGGGAGGTGGAAAGCCTGCAGCAAGTTTTCAAACCCATCTCACCCTTCACTTGGAAACAGACTCAGCGCTATTGCCAGAGGCATGGTGGGAGTGAGTCTGGCCCTTTGGTTTGCCTGGGAACTGGGTGAGGCCTGTGACTGCTGGCTTTCCCCCTTTTCCCTGACCCCTGCATGACTCAACAGAGGGAGCCATAATCCTCCTAGGTACATAACTCCAGTGACCTGGGAATCTCACCCGCATCCCCACTGCAGCCTCAGCAACGTGCCCAAGGAGAGTCTGAGTTCAGACATGCCTAGCCCCACCCCAACCTGATGGTCCGTCCCTATCCACCCTAGTAGTGAAAGACAAAGGGCATATAATCTTGGAAGCTCTAGGGCCCCACCCACTGCCAGTCCCTCTCCACACTACTGCAACTGATGCTTTTTGGAAAGCATTACCTCCTGGTAGGAGGCCAACCAGCACAAAAATAGAGCATTAAACCACCAAAGCTAAGGACCCTCATGGAGTCCATTGCACCCTCCACCACCTCCACCAGAACAGGTGCTGGTATCCACAGCTGAGAGAACCATAGATGGTTCACATCACAGGAATCTGTACAGACAACTCCCAGTACCCAGAGCCAGTTAGACTCGCTGGATGGCTAGACCCAGAAACTCAAAAAAGGGTTTTAATAAAATAGTATAGAAAGAGCTTGAATAAATGGAGACTCTTCTCATTTTCCTTAATGAGATGACTAAACATTGTAAAAACATCAATTTACATCAGAAATTTGTATGCTAATGTCATGCTAATCCTTCCCCCACCAAAATCTCAAAGTTAAAAAAATTACTTTGGGTATTAAAAAGTTATTCTATTCTAACATTGACCTAGAAGAATAAAGATGGAAAATCAGAAATGAACAGTAGGGAAAAAAGATTTACAAATATTATCCAGAAATTGGCTATTAATAAATAAATACAATGATGTTTTCCCCCTGCATGTCAATAATACATAATCAAATTCCATGTGGATTAGTTAAATCATTATAAAAATAAAAGTTTAGAATAAAAAGTAGCTATTTTATTTAACTAGTTCATCAATGGAAAAGTACTTCTAAGAATGGAAGTGGTGTCAGAAATCACAAAGGGAAAATCTAGATTTGATTACAGAGGAAAACAAAACCCTGTTTATTAATGAAACATCATAACAAAGTTTAAAAGGCCATAAAAGAATGAGAGAAAATTGCTCACTCCTGTTCATAGAGTTTATTGGGCCTTCCACAGAACTGAGATGTGAAAAGCCAACTGCCTTCCTATATTTGATTATGGAAATCCCCAGGGAACTAGAGTCCCATCTTGTTTGTACTTTAGTTTCTAGTTCATAACATAGGAAATGCAAATAAAAAACACAATGAGATACCACTTCATACCCACTAAGATGGCCATAACTTAACATTGCTGGTGGGAATGCAGAATGGTTCAACCACTGTAGAAAACAGTTTGTCTGTTCCTCAAAAAAGCTAAACATAGAATTACCGTACGACCCAACAGTTCCAATCCTAGCTATATACCCAAAAGGATGCAAAATAGATATTCAAACAAATATAGGTACACAAACATCTATAGCAACACTATTCACAATAGCTAAAAGGCAGAAACAACCCGATGTCCGTCAATGAATGTGTGGATAAATTGTGCTATAACACTTAATACAATATTATTTACCCATAAAAATGAAATTTTGATACATGCTACTATGTAAATGAATCTCAAAAACTTACACTAAGTGAAAAAGGCCAGACACAAAAGGTTTCATACGATTCAGTTTATATGAAATATCAAGAATACATAACTCCATAGAGACAGAAAGCTGATTGGTGGTTGCTGGGGGCTGAAGGGAGGAGGGGATGGAGGGTATCTGCTAATGGGATGGGGTTTCCTTTCAGAGCAGAACATTTTTTCTGGAACTTAAACAAAGGCGGTGGTTATACAACATTGTTAACAATACCAAGTGGCAGTGAACTTCCCACTTTAAATAGTTAATTTTACGTTATGTGAATTTCACCTCAATACAAAAATTCTTTAAAAAAAAAAAGCCAGTAATATCCAACCATTAAAAAAATAAGTTTCACAGCTCATATGTAATCAACTTACTTATTACTGCACTATATACAATGGTTATACAACATTGTTAACAATACTAAGCGGCAGTGAACTTCTCACTTTAAAATAGTTAATTTTATGTTATGTGAATTTCACCTCAATACAAAAATTCTTTAAAAAAAAATAAAGCCAGTAATATCCAACCATTAAAAAAATAAGTTTCAGAACTCGTATATAATCAACTTATGTATTACTGCGCCCAGCTATGTAAGATAGAGTTCCAACCCTTGGTGAACTTCAGGTCTTGTTGGAGGACTATCTAAGGATACAGAGATTAATAAAATAAAGAACTACCACAAAGGAGCTGCCCTTCAAGTGCACAGAGTTCACATATGCAAATCTGGTTGTGGAGAAAGGAAACATTTCTGAAATAAGACATTTGAAATGAGCTTTAGGGGTTGACTGGAATTTTTACTGTTAGAGGTAGAGAAACACAATATCATAAAGAAGCGTGTGATCCCTACTAGAGGATTACCTGGTAAGTTGAAAGACATCATTAAACAGTCCAACCTGGTTGTTGTCAAAGCTATATAAATTGGGCACAGAATTGAAGACCAAGTGTCAACAGAGAATGGCTCTGTCCCCTTTGCATCCCCAGTGCCAAATGCAGTCCTCAAGTACATGTTTGATGATTGGTAAATGTCAAAAATAAAATAAACATAAAATATAAATGTGCATTTTTAAAACTTTTAAAAAGGCTAAGCACCAGAAAAATCTATAAAATAGCAATATCTAGCAGCATTTATTACCACGGAGGCAGCGTGTTAAGGTCACGTATTTGAGGTATCAGGAAAGCACAGGGTAGCCAGGGTGAACTGCATGTGGAATTCTAGAAAACTGTGTACGCCATCCTAGGGGATTTGGACCGCAATTTTAATGCAGCAGGGAATCAGTATGGTCGATTTTCCCAAGATTCTGATTAAGTGTAGCATAAATGAGTGGTCAGTATAGAAGTACGGAGTGTGCAGCATCATGAACTCATCCTGGCAAATCATGAGGGCAGACACGTAAGGAATCTGCCCTCATCTTTGCCCTTGGCTTTCTAGGCCCATCCTCTTGGAGCTGTAGGGGAGGGGGGATCTGGGGACACAGCAAGAGGGAAATGGCTGAGTGCACAGTAAATGTACCCTTTATGGAGATGAGAACCTGCCGCAGAACAGAAGGTTGTTGGCTCTGTTGTGCCTGATGAAGAAAAGGAAAGGGTGGTCAGCACAGAACCGCGGGCCAGATTCCATGCAGCACTCTGCCACCACCACGACCGAGGCCGCCGCCGCCTCCGTGCCTTCTTCATTCACCTCCACGAAAGTCTTGTGCACAAACTTGGACAGACACAGGTCTCTCTCGGCTGACATTGCCGACAAGTCAGCCTTGCTCTGTTGGAAAGCATCAACCATTCCCAAACGTGGAAGCACAGATTCCATGTCATAATCCTCCTGCAGTTTAAATTTTGGAAGGAGAACTTCAACCTCAGTGCTCTTCATACAGTCTGGCTTGGTCCAGGCTGTGAGTTTCTCAAAAGTGAGATTTTTTTCCACCTGAAAGACCAGAATGAGACTTTAAGATTTCGACTTCAGGCACTCACAGTCCCCTTCCTCCTTCTGCACGTGGGTATTGTTTATTTGCATAGGACCAGCGGCCCCTTGATCTGCCAGAAGCTTGTCTGCGCTCCTACTTGTCCTGTGTCTCATGCGCCATCCCACGTACCTCTTCCATGACAAGGGGGAGAGACACCAAGCAGCCAGAGGCAGGAAGGCTGTGGCTGTCCTTTCCTTACCCAACAACTCCCAAGACTAATTGTACTGTGACAAGCATCAATGCCCAGGCGACTATGATTTTTTTTTCCAACCTATGCTTATTTTTAAAAACAGCAAACCATTGCTAGTAAAGGAAAGGATGGGAAATGAAAGGGCTCTCAGTGAGAGCCACCCCAGGAGGGGTATCTGCCCCAGGTGACATTCTGCATAGTTTCTGGAGCAGAGAGGTTACGGTCAGGGAGGTGGGCAGAGGGAGAGCCAATGGCTGCCTCACACACAGGCCTCTTAAGTCATGGGGTTCCACTGCCTGCCATTTGCCATGGTTGACTCTATCACCCCAGGGATCCACACTGAAGGGACACCAGGTGCCTGGATGTGCCATCAGAGGCTGTCTCTGGGCCAACCCTCTGAGCAATGGACTTTACACCTCCCTGGATGCCACGATCCCCCTGCTCCCAGCCTTGTTAGGTGAAAGACTTCTTCATTCTCTATTTCAGATTCTAGCCTTTAAAAGCATGATGCTAAGAACAATAATTATAATAAAGGATCTCATTTGTATAGCGTTTACTATTTGCCAGGCAATGCGGTAAGCTTGCCACCTGAATTACCCACATTTTATCCTCATCATAAGCCTACCAGGCATTAACTATAAGCAGTGCTTTTACAGAGTTAAAAGTCTGGTGTCATTCACCAAACTAGCGGGATTTTTAGAAGCTTCCCCCTACCTGGTTTATTTTAAAAGGCATTTTAACCGCCCCCCCCCACCCCTTCTAGCGATGAAAAAGCAGAGGACTGGGATGTGTCATTTGGCAGATCACGAGGACAATGCTAGGGAAAGTCAGCCTTGACCAAAAATTTGATCCCAAAGCCAAGTGCCTGCGCAGTGCGCTCAGCAGGCTGCGTCTGCCGCATCGCCAACCCGGAAGGTAAATACAAGAGGTGAAAGTGGCGCTGGAGTTCTGCCCGCAAAGGTGTCCCGGGGTTCTTCCTGCAGCCCGGGTCTCACCGTGCTGAGCTCCACGCCGTCGTCAGGTAGCAAGACCAGCAGGCTCAGCTCCTCGCCAGCATAGGGCAGCTCCAGCAGCTGCGCGCCCACCTCGCCCACGTGGGCGAGCATAAAGGAGGCCTCCTGATACATCATCTGCACTGGCCTTTGCTCCTCCTGGGGGAAGGATTATTGAAAGAAGCAATTAACCGTTTCAAAAGAGCTGCAGTTGCCTCCAGGAGTGTTTTCAGCACCTGTATTCATGCCCCAGTTAACACTAAAAAAAAACAAAGTCAACCATTTCCTTATCATCATTGCAAGCAGACACAGTACTACCTTGGGAAAGGTTTTGTTCTGTAAAATAAAATGTGATACTCTCCATTTACCCCCGGGGAAAGTCAGATTTTTCTCATTTAAATTAGGCTCAGCAAATACACCTAAGAAAACAATATAATCAAATGAAATTAAATACAGCTATTTGTATTTAATTAGAAAAAAGTATATTGTTTTTCATATTTATGCAACCCAACATATAAGAAAAAATGTCATAAAGTGGAGTGAAACTTACAGTTTCACAGCAGTATGACAGGGAGTATAAATCAGTATACTCTTTCAGAAAGAGTAACAACCTACGTATATGGTAATGCATTTTAACAAAATCTTTTCAATTCTGATACTCTAAGGAAATTTTTTTTTTAATACCGTGGAGGCATATGCACACAGAAGTTGAGCAAAGTATTACAGTTATTAAATTTACTTTAAAAAATTGATACAGTTCATCTATTATAAAAATTAAAATAGTTCTAAAACCAAGGTTAGAAGAATTCTCCTCCTCCCACCCTTTGCAACTAGACAACTAATTTTTTTTAAGTGATTTAAAGTACAACTTACAAAAACCGCAGGAAGGCTCCCTACTTTCGTTTTCTAATTGCATTACAGTGGTATATGTTTAGGGGCTGGAGGATTTGGCAAATTATTCTAACGCCTGCCTTAATTTTTACTTCGATGTCAAAACTAAGGTCTTTGTCACAAAGTTTTAATATTGGAAAGCTGTAAATACTGAATTAATAATAATTAGTTAACAATTCAAATAAAACTTATTTTAATTTTTAAAATAACTAATCAAAGACATGTTTTCACATTCTCTCCCTCCATCCTGCCCTATCTCCTCACTCCCCATACATCACACTAGCTTAACATTAACACCTCTTTTTTTTTCTTCTTCTTTCTTAGCTTCTTACTTCTGGGCTGGGGCACTTTCAGGCTGCTTGGTGCCAGGGGGCTGCCCTCTTTTTCTGCTTTCTAACCAAGTAAATTGGGCTTAAAGGAAGATCTTTAGTTTCCAAAACTAGGTGGCTGCAATGGTTTATGGGAAATTATCAAAGGCCATAAAAGCAGTGATGAAACACTACATGTATGTTAAATCTATCTATCTATATGCAGCAAATATCTTTTACTCCTTCCATTTTTTCTAGTGAGTTAAGAAATTCATTCAGAAATATTTTAAGTTTCAAATTTTCTGGCTTATGCTTATGTTACTTACACTTTTACAAAGTTAAATCTTTCCATTCAACTTCTTCAAAAAACTAGGGAGATTTTGAAAAGCCTCTCCCTACCTGGTTTATTTTAAAAGGCATTTCCCTTGTGTATGTTTCCTCAAACCGTTCATTCCACTTTCCTTTGAAGTAGATGGCGTTGACAAGAACCAGCCTGGTCTCTGCATCAATTGAGTTAACCGGCAACAACTCCTCAATTTTACCTTTCAAGAAAAGCAGAGACCTACGTTCAGTTGCTTTTTGTAAGAACCTGATGTATTCAGTTCTAATAATACATCAACTAATAATCCTGAATTATTAGTTGAGAACCAAACTTCTGTTTTCAAATTTGCCGAGTTTGGGTTGTTACGTACAGAAATGACAACAGCACCTGTGAGTGGTATTCATGATTACTGACACCTTGAGAGCACCCACCAAGTTGAAGATAGTGAAAGACTTGTTAAGTCACTTGAGGACAACAGGTCGGCAGAAAGTAGGAAGATTACACCAGGTTGGAGAACAAGACCAGCAAGAAATGTGATAGGCTGCAGGGGTGTTTGTCTCACGTGGTTAAAAGGAGTGTTTGATCCAACCCTTTGTGGTCACACACCTGATCTAACACCGCACCCGGCTAATTTGTGTATTTTTTGTAGAGATGGGGTTTTATCATGTTGGCCAGGCTGGTCTCGAACTCCTGACCTCAAGTGATATGCTCACCTCGGCCTCCTTAAGTGTCGGGATTACAGGAGAGAGCCACCATGCCCAGCCCTCTTTTGACATTTGTATCAGCTACTCTCGTCCTGGGAGAAGAGATGAAAGTAAATCTCTGTTGCTGAAAACCTGAGTGTCTGATCAGAACCTTTGTGAGTCCACTAAGGTTCAGTATGCCAGGAGGCCCTGCCAGTCAACATTACTCTGACCATCTGAAACACCCATGAAATTACAGGGGCTGGAGTAGAGAGGTGGAGGTGGGTGAGGAGAGAGAGAAGGAGGGATAGGAGGGAGAGGAGGAGGAGGGAGGACAGAGGAGGAGAGAAGAGGCAGAAGGAGGAAGGGTTGGGAGGAGGGTGGAATAACTTGTCATTCTGACCTTCAGTCTTTTCTGAGACCCAAGTGTTGATGTGTTTCCTGGACTCTTCTGCAGCTTTGATAAAAGAAAGCTGCTTCAGCTCAGCATGGTAGAATTTAACACAGGATTCCTTAAATGTCTTTGGAGAGAAAAAGTTCAGTGAGGCTGCATTGCTAAATACAAATGTCAGCAAACTTCCAAAAATTCTAAATATTTTATCTTTTTTTAATAAAAAGAATATACATAACTCTTTTAAAGCAATCAAATTAAGATACGTTAAAATATTAGAATTTGTAAATAGGTATGTATTGAACCCTGAATAACCAGAAATGAACTTGAGAAGAGTCAACTTTTTAATAATGCAAGGTATAATTATAGAATTATGGTATTAAAAAAAAAAAAAAGAAGTTTAGACTGGGCGTGGTGGCTCACAGCAGGGGGATCACTTGAGACCAGGAGTTCGAGACCAGCCTGGGCAACATAATGAGACCCCAACTTAGAAAAAAATAGTAAAATTAAAAAAAAATTGGTTAACGTAATTTTCTCAATTTCTCTAGAGCCTTTCTCTCGGACTCTATATCACCAGGTATGTTGAATACAACTTTTATTGTTCTATTGATTCAACTTACTGAGAGGAATTCACAAGTTTTCTCTCCAAAGAGCCTGTTGGCCATTCTCAGCAGGTACTGTGTGCCAGGCTTGTTTACTTCAGTGAGAAGTGACTGGAAGCCCTGATGAATGTCTTCCTCTGTATTTAAAGAAAGTGCCTGTTGTGAAAAACAATTTTAAAAATTATCAGTTTAGCTCTGGCTGCTGGCGAGAGGAAAGAGGGAATAGAAAACAGGCAAGTAGGCTGGGCGTGGTGGCTCACGCCTGTAATCCAAGCACTTTGGAGAACGAGGCGGGTGGATCTCCTGAGGTTGGGAGTTCAAGACCAGCCTGACCAACATGGGGAAACCCTGTCCATAAAAAACAGGCAAGTAAAAGATGTAGCTCTCCTGCCTGAATGGACCTCGCTGATTTAACGATGAGTAACAGAAAAAATGGCAAGGTGAGAAAAGTTCAGAAAAGAGGTTGTGATAAAATCTTGTATCCAAAGAAAAACAAATGCACCCTAAGTGGTGGGAAAATTATCTCTAAAATTTATAGTAAAAAAAAAAAATGAAGTTAAAAAGTTAAAAGCAGAAAAAATGCAAGGAAAAATAGGCAGAAATACAATCATCAGAATCCTCAAAAGGAAATAAAGATATTAAATGAGCAAGGTGATGAGACTATACGTGTGTGTATTACGTAAATAATTCAAAAAATATAACGCATATTGGGCCGTAAGAAAAGTCTCAAAGTCTCAATACATTCTGAAATATAGAAATTATATAGGTTAGGCCGGGCGCAGTGGCTCACGCCTATAATCCCAGCACTTTGGGAGGCCGAGGCGGGTGGATCACGAGGTCAAGAGCTCGAGACCATCCTGGTCAACATGGTGAAACCCCGTCTCTACTAAAAATACAAAAAATTAGCTGGGCATGGTGGTGCGTGCCTGTAATTCCAGCTACTCGGGAGGCTGAGGCAGGAGAATTGCCTGAACCCAGGAGGCGGAGGTTGCGGTGAGCCGAGATCGCGCCATTGCACTCCAGTCTGGGTAACAAGAGCGAAACTCCGTCTCAAAAAAAAAAAAACAAAACAAAACAAAAAAAAAGAAATTATATAGGTTATATTCTCTAACCTCGATGTAGTAACAAGAAATCAATAACATTATAAATAAAATACCAGTAACATGAAAATGGCCCTATAAAATGTTACTAAAAACACTTTCCTAAATAAATAACTCTTCAAAGTAACCATTAAAATCCTCTTCTAGGCCAGGCACGGTGGCTTATGCCTGTAATCCCAGCACTTTGGGAGGCCAAGGCAGGAGGATTGCTTGAATCCAGGAGTTTGAAACTAGTCTGGGCAACATTGCAAGATCCCATCTCCAATTAGTGGGGCACAACGGTGTGTTCCTGTGGTCCCAGCTACTTGGAAGGCTGAGGTGGGAGGATTGCTGGAGCCCAGGACTTTGAGGCTGCAGCGAGCTATGATCAAGCTGCTGCACTCCAGTCTTAAGCCAGACCATGTCTCACAAAGGAAAAAAAAAAAAAAAAAAGGCCTCTTCTAAACAAATATTTAAAATATTCTCCTAGGTCAGGCGTGGCGGCTCACACCTGTAATCCCAGCACTTTCGGAGGCTAAAGTGGGCAGATCAACTTGAGATCAGGAGTTCAAGATCATCCTAGCCAACATGGTGAAACCCTATTTCTACTAAAAATATGAAAATTAGCCTGGTGTGGTGATGCTTGCCTGTAACCCCAGCTACCCGGGAGGCTGAGGCAGGAAAATCACTTGAACCTGGGAGGCAGAGATTGCAGTAAGCTGAGATCACACTACTGCACTCCAGCCTGGGCGACAGAGCAAGACTCCTCAAAAAACAAAGAAACAAACAAAAAATATTCTTCTAAATAAGTATATGACACATGATTTAGAAAATAATCAAAATATGGGTGATATATATTAGACCAAAGAGTTTGGCCAAAGATAAATTAAAACACAGCATTGTTTTTAATATTACCAAGAAAATAATGAAATGCTAAAACTTTAAATCATTATGCTAGAAAAAATACAGAAAAACTCCTAAGGAATTTTGGGACAAACAAAAAATGGTCAATGAATCCAAGAGCTGGTTCTTTAAAAGCAAACACACGTACTCACATACAAAACAGACAACCGCGCAGCACATATAAGAAAAATAAGAAAAAGTGCCCCAAAGGAAGGTTATATGTAAAAAAGAGGTTACAGCAATGTCTACAAAAGGAATGTTAAAACAATAAAAACTATGTCTAATTATTTTCAGTGAAGTATCGATTTGTTACCAAATGCCAGTCAAAAATATGAATATTAGCGAGTCATGGTGGCATGTGCCTGTAATCCCAGCTCCTCGGGAGGCTGAGGCAGGAGAATCACTTGAACTCAGGAGGCGAAGCGTGCAGTGAGCTGAGATAGCGCCACTGCACTCCAGCTGGGATGACAGAGTGAGACTCGGTCTCAAAAAAACAAAAAAGGAATCTATTATCACTGACAATGAATAAACCGAGAGAGAGAGAGAAGTACTTCTAAAAAGGCTTAGATGATCTTTTGAGGGATTTTTTCTAATATTCAAACAATTTCTATTTCCCGTGTAATACACACTGTTCCAGAACAGAGAAAAAAAGAGGAAGCTACTAAATTTAATTTAGACAGCTCGTAGACTGTTGATAAGAAACCCTGTCAAAAATAGAACAAAACCAAAAGCTAAGACCAATTTCACCTACAGCTGGGATACCGCTATGACTAGCCATAGCCAACACATGCTGAGCACTTGCTTTACACAGACTCTCATTGACTCCTCAATTAACTGAAAGAACATTTATAAGAGTAAAGATACTGTATAATCACCAAAGTACAACATGTAAAGTGAAAATGGGGAAATAAGACTGGAGGAAGATGCCTTACGTTATCAAGGGTGGTTGTCTCCATGTGACGATTTCATAGGGACTTTTTTTTCCTCCCTTCTACTTTCCTTTTTTAAAGATTTTTATAGTGGATTTTTACCACTTATATAATGAAGAAAAAAATAAAAAATTATTTAAAACATTTCTGATGCCATTAACGCTTCCCTTCATATTACAGGCAGCAACGTGTACTCAGCATGTTTGGGGGCTCAGGAGTATCCAGCTGCGCACTGGAGCCATGGAGAGCTCCCGACGTCACACCGCAGAAGCTAACCAGGCAATTTTGGTGCTCTCAAAAAAAGCTTTCAATAAGGGTTTATCAGTGAGCCTAAAACATAGAAAAAGATCATAAAAATGTAAGCATAAGCAACTTCAGAATCAAAATGAAGTCACTAATGTTAAAAAACAAAACAAAACAAAACAAAAACTTGCAGGGCCCAGTGGCTCATGCCTGTAATCCCAGCACTTTGGGAGCCCAAAGTGGGTAGATCACAAGATCAGGAGTTCAAGACCAGCCTGGCCAGCAGGGTGAAACCCCATCTCTACTAAAAATACAAAAAAAAA